GTTATTTTTCATCCGATTTCAACCAAAATTTCCGAGAATGTTAGTCTAGGCGAGATTATGGTTAAAATATCTCCCCAAATCTCCCATAAAGTAATGAGTTATAGTCAATTTATTGGTTAAAAGTACCCTATACGCGGGCAAAGATTTCGCAATAAGGATACGAGCTATCAAACCCGGCCGGTTTTCAAGTTGTAGAGTACCCTTAGGGCTAGATCCTTCCAGGGCCCGATTTTTGAATTTCCCTTTGTTTGTTTTTTAAAAACCCTTTTTCGTAAAATTCACGAAATCATGCCCAAAAAATTGCTACTAAAAAAAGAAAATATCTAAGGCTTTTATTTCACCAAAAGAAGAATTCTAAAATGGGATCCTGGGAGGATCTAGCCCTGCCTGTCTACTATGCATTAAAAAGAAATCATCACTTACATATTGAGTTATTATGAAGAAAACCTTGCCCGCGTAAACGGTATGCTCGAAAAAATTGATTTTGAGAAAAACGAAAAATAAGTTTTTAAAAACCTTATTTTTTTCAATATGGGGGTTCGGAAAAACCTATGTAATATCCTTAAATCTCATGATAAAATCAATCAACTATAGTGCATTCAAGAGTAGACACTTAGCTCTATCTCATGAGTTATAAACCACAAAATCGATAAATTTGACCAAAATTGACTTTTCTGAGGGGGGGGGGGGCTTAAATCATTTGCCAACTAAATCACGGCTACTATAATATCTATTGATTAGCGTTTTGTCTAATACTGTACAAATATTCTTACCATCCGATTGTTGAATCAGTGGCGCTACTGGTGGATTCTTCTTTTTCAATAGTACTACTTTTGGTTTCGGAATCAAATCTACATGTTTCTTGAAAGGTGACTTCACAAGTGCAAAAGGAGCATCGATTTCTTTGAGTTGAATAATACGAAGTCCAGCAGCTGGATTGAGCTGACCAATTACTTCAAAATATGATCCAGGCATTAGGATTACTTCCTCTTCAGTGTTTTGGAAATGCGAGTGATGTGATATTGATTTACCATGTTGACACTGAATAGAAAATATAGTACGCAGGCCAGAAGTTCCCAGAAATTGATTATTTTTGAGCACTTCAACATTGGTTGTACATGAGCTCACTCCCCACCAAACAATTTTTGCTCCTTTGGGATATTTTGAACTAAGATCTGCATCTCGTACTCCACGCCAAACTGTTGAACCACGAGAAGGAAGCTTATATAAAGCTGTAAGAAAAAGTTTGAGAAAGGAAAACCACGGTTTCAGTTCTTGTCGGTTCTCCGCTCGAAGGGTTCGATTTAAAACGTAAAACAGACTAGGACCACCATCGAATTGCATCGTGTATAGATGAATCGATGCTGATTCATTCTGAGTTAGACCTTCTTGAGGTCTTTGACAATTTTTCTTTGCCACCCATGCATGTTCTAAGATTCCATTAAATAAGTGACATATTGGTTCAAGGGCTTCCTCAAGTGACACAAGTGGTACGTCTTGATAACCCGTAATCGGTGTAAGAAGACGAGTAACTGGCTCATCATACACGTCAGTGCACCGAGTTACTGATGGATTCATCCAGGAAGGCATCGCCATCGCCATAGTTTCAAATCTACAAAAGAAATGAGAAGTCATGTTGCTCTTGATTGGAATATCTTCCCTTGAATACTTCTATACTCAAAAGAAAAAGCTTGTTAGCGCAGCTCCTGTGAGGCTGAAATGTGGAACTCGAATATGTTCTGCAGCTTCAGTATACTAATATGAAATACAGAAAGTGTAAAATCAAGAATTACTTAATTTTCTGACCGTCACTCTTATTTTTTGTTGTCATTGCTGCTATTCACTCAGTATTTGTCATTCTCGCAATTCTTTTATCTTAATTTAAAACTTTTACTATAATAAGTTTTGTATTATATGGCAAATGAAACTGTTATATTTATATCTCCATTATTTAATCCCGATTGCTAATGTCTGTAACGGGAAGGCGGAGGGGGAGCCGCGAAACTTGAACTTAAAACTTACACTCACTATTTTCTTCAAAAATATATGTGAGTTCCACAAAACTAAGTTATATGTTGGGTACATATGTGATCTAATTAGTTTTAATGATAAAATTGTTATCAAGGAAGGATTGCATATAAATCCTAGGCAGACAAAACTTTTAACGAAATCCATTAAAACGTGTTAAAAGCAATTATAAAGTTTTGGCT